TTGAAAAACATCAATGTCCTCGGCAGACCTGCCAATATCCGTGTTGTGTTCTTTCCTCAAATGCTCCCTGAATTGAGCGTGGTCTCTCACTGGGAGGTGACCCGGGGTGTGGCAGAACAGCTCCACGCGATGGGTTTGCGATTCATGGCCAAACCAAGCGTCGACAGAGTCGAACAGGTAGTTGTTCAGGTGGCAGTCAGTGTAGGTGCAGACGTACGGCTGGAGATCGGAAAGAACATGCTCTCTTCCAACCAATCAAACGTCAGCGTGTTGATTAGATCTTGTCATGAATGTATGCGTTAAGGGAGAGGAGGAAAGACACGCACCTCCACTCGCGCTCTCCCGAGACTTGGACGGCGAGATAGCAGTATTTGCACTGGAACAGAGTCGCAAGGCTACCGTCAGCCTGCTTTGGTCGAGGAGGCGCCTCAAGATGAATTTCACGGGTCGCGCGGCTGCCGGCCACAGACGTCCTGGTATCGTCATCCACAGGGGCTACCGCAGCCACATGCAATCGGGCAAGCTCCTCCTCAACATTCACTGGCGTGTCTTGATTGATCCGAACGGTGGTTGCCTTGGTGTATTGGGTTGCTGGCCCGATACGCTGGTGTGGAGGGGGCTTGGATTTGTCGGGGGCGTCGTCTTTGCCGTCATCGTCGCTTCCATCGCCCTGGGATTCGGAATCGTCATCGTCCGTGTCCTCGGTGTCGGATTCTTTCCCTTTCACCAGTCTATCGTTGTGCTGCTGTCGGTATACCAGCAGTTGACGGCGTCGAGTGATCATTTTCGCCAGACGCTTCTGGACTTCCGATGCAAGCCCGGGAAACTTGTCTTGGATGTATCCCAAGTCGAACTCGGCAAAGGGCGAGACCTCTCTGTTTTCGATAAATCTGTCTTGGAGGCGGTCCATCGGAGCTGGTTTGCGCAGGGGCAGGATGTACAGACATTTCACAGCCAGCTCAGACGCCTCGAGGAGCTGCCTTGCTCGAGGGCCAATAGTTGCCTGGTTCTTAGAGCCCAACAGTTGCTGCTCTGGCTCAGGCTCTGAGTCTGACGACACCTCCCAAGGTGAATCCTGATCGCCTAAACTGCTTCTTGTCGACAGAGCGGCGTCTCTCACCGATGGAGGCTCGGCCCCGGTGGTCTTGGCGAGCCATCGTCTTCCGTCGGCGAGCTGGGTTCCGAGTATATCGAGGATTCTCAGGATCAATGCGGGGGTCAGTCACCATCCTGAATATCTGCAGGCAGCAGCGTTGCAGGGACTCACCTCTTCCCTGTACGGTGAGGCAAACCGGAGACGATGATCCAAGGAGCGCGACGAGCTCGGCGGATGAACGGCGCCGACGCTGTCGGCCCAAATGCGGTACTTGTCGAAGGCATCGTTGAGTCGATCGTGGATGACGTTCTGCACGTGAGATTCAGTGTCGAGGGACGAAAGAAGAGAATGGAAGTGTGTGCGACACGCTTTGTGTTTCTCCCAGATGGAAGCGACCATGCTGGCGTGTCAGGGGACCAGAGGACGTTGTCGTCTCTGACAGAGGAAAGAACCACTTGCGCTCCTTCTGATGCATCCGTCACTCTTGATCAGGCTCTCGAACTGCCACGACAACAACCAATCAAGGAGACCTTACCCCGCTCGGAGAGATTTTCGGGAGGCCCCTATCGCTGTACCCCAGTATTTTTTGTAGCCCCTACCTCAATTCAACCTTGTTGCATTGATTCGCCCAAAAAATACCACTGCCCTCAGGCAGTATCAGCCGCAAAAGCTGAACTGCAGACGACATGGCCAGCCATTTCATTTCCAAAAGCCGAGGACTCCTCCGCCCGTCCCACGCCCCAGCGGTGACCACTCACCGCATCACTGCCGTGGCGAGCTCGAACATAGGGTTACTGTCCTTCCAGGAACAACAGCGCCCGACGTAAAATGGGAAAGGGCTACTTTCGGAGCCTTCGACGGCGCGTCAAGGCCCGGCTCTTCCATCACGACGCTAGCGACCCGGGAAGAGCCGCATCTGAGGCCACCGATCATACTTCGGCAGCAATACAAGCATCTTCCTACGGCGTCTTGGTTTGGCATGACTGCCCGCATGCAACCGTCGATATCTGCTTCGTTCACGGCCTGACTGGAGACCGCGAACGCAGCTGGACCGCCGCAGACAGCAAAAAAGAGAAAGATGGCCACCCCTGGCCGCAAAGCATTCTCCCGCCCGAACTGCCTAATGCACGGATCTTGACGTACGGCTATGACGCCTACTACACGAGCGAGGGGGTGTCCTCAGGCAACAGGCTATCGGACCACGCGCGCAACCTCGTCACCGAACTGACGACGAACAGACGCGCGAACCAGAACCGCCCCCTTATTTTTGTGGCGCATAGCCTGGGCGGTCTAGTCACCAAAAAGGGGCTGCTACTGTCACGGGATAACCGCGAAGAGTACCTGCAGGGGATTTTCAAGTGCACTAAAGGTATCTTCTCTCAGCTCTCCCCTTTTAAGCTCTTCTCGTAGTTAAACAGAGATGAGTGGGGCGATGGTTCGTCGCCTAAAGCACCCAACCATCCGGCTAACCACTCTGGATAGGCATCATTTTCATGGGGACGCCACACCGAGGCTCCTGGATGGCCGACTGGGCCAAGTTTCCCGTCAGCGCTTTTGGTGTTGTCAAGTCGGTGAATGGGCGGTTGCTCAAAAGTCTCCAGACGGATGGCGAGTATCTTGAATCGATGCAGGAAGACTTTGCACGCCTCTTACGGAAAACGGACACCAAGTCGGAGACGCCCATCGAAGTCACCTGCTTTTTCGAGGAGCTACCAATGCAGGTGATCGGCACAATCGTCTCGAGGGAGTCGGCGACGCTCCCAGACTATAACGCTATCAGTATTCACGCCAACCATCGTGAGATGGTGAGGTTCTCCTCGACTACGGATAGGGGGTTTGTGGAGGTTCTGGGCCTACTTCGGAAGTGGCAGTATGAGGTCGAGTAAGTTCAATGCAAAAAGAGACACATATTGAAACCGAAGTTGACACAAAGGGTAAAACAGACTGGGACCGTTAATGAGATCCGTCTTTTTCGAGATGAGGCAGCTCGTGGACATGTTCGAGGAATGCAGGGGCTATGTAAGTTCATGCTAAGGAGATTGCAAAAGGTTGGGCTTACAAACATACACAGCTGCATGGCTCTCCAAATGCTGAACAACACCTCTTCTCGTTCAACAAAACACTTCTTCATCTCGGCTCGTGCAAGCTGAGAACCGAGGAAACCTACACGAGAATCCTGCAAGGAGCATGCATTCCGAAAATTGAGTCGCTCATGAAGCGAGATGCCGGTTGGCAGGACCTCCAGCTTCAATCCAAGCTTCGGTCTTCCCTTCAAGACGACTGGGTAGACTTCAGAAAGACGGTCGAGGGGCTGGAACAAAACCTGTCCTACTTCAAGAGAAAGCTCTCTATCAATACGGTAAGACTGCTGACACTTGCGCATCTTTCAGTATCCTGACAACCTAGAACAGACCGACAAAGAGAACGACTGGGAAGACCTCATCCATGACTTCCTTGAGAAATGGGCGGCATCCCAGAGCAGCGCCACGACCTCCATGATGTATGAACGCCTGGTTGGCAAGATTGTCAGGGCCGTCGACCGGCTCTGCTCCTTTGCTCCAAACACCGTCGGTGAGACCCAAGAAGCCGAAGCCGTATCCGGCAAAGGGAGCTCAGAGAGGGTCGAGTGGGTCGCCTCATGGCTCAGCGTCAGGGAGCACACCCGCAACATTTGGGACAAGCTGTCCCATATCTGGAGTTACAACTGTCCCATGCAGCAACATCAGGCCAACATCCAACTATGCCCTCCGGGCGTCCCCATTAGCCACCAGCAAATCTCCTTTGGTTACTCCTTTTCGCTTCATACCCCTCTCTCGGGCTGTGCCTGGCGAGATGTGATAGTCACCTCCAAGTCAGTATCCCCGCGATTCTTCTTGTATCTGCGTGTTCTTCAATACGTCTGACATCACTTCAGGAACAAAATGGAGAAAGATCTGCCGTTAACCCGAAGAGACGAAAAGGGGAAGAAGCGGGCGAGGTTCGTCGACGTGGGGGTCACCATCAACGAGCTCACCAGCCTCCCGAAACACAACCTTGAAGGCGAAGTGTTCAACATCTGCCAAACCATCGAGCGGCAGTATGAACAGGGGGACAAGATTGGATCCCTCGCCTGCGGAGACTGCGACTACATCATGTACGGCGATGCCCCTGGCGACCGGGAGCTCGTTCCCCTTCGAAACATTCTTCCCTACTTCCACAACGGGCAGCCAATCCCTACCGCGCAAAGGTAGACCCGCCCCTCATCTTCCCGACCCCCTAAGCGAGTACTGACCCACCTCCCCAGACGTAAAATCTCCCTCTGCCTGGCCTCCTCCCTCCTCATGCTCTATAACACCCCCTGGCTCCCCGAATACTGGAGCCTCGACGACGTCTACATGGACCGCTCCGACCCAACGCGTCTCTACAGAAAACAAGTCTTTTCCAAACACTCCCCCGTTCCATCCCAACCCAAACCCGATGATACAGACGTCATCGACAACGAACCCATCTTCTGCCTCGCCGTAGCCCTCCTCGAGCTCACCTTCGGCGCACCTCTTACGAACTTCTACAATTCCAACTGCGGCATCGCTGGTCCCAACACGAACTCCACCGGACTGGGGGCCGCAGACCCAGTTGCAGGTCCGGACAACAGACTGTTGAGACTCATCACGGCGAAGCGATTGACGAAAGCAATTCGAAAGCACGAGGAAGAGAGATTCGCATCAGTCGTCATTAAATGCATGAACCCACCCTCGAGCTCTCCAACCGAGTACGACTTCAGTTTCCAGAGCGAGGCGTTCAGGAAGCAATTTATTCAGGACGTGGTGGTTCCTCTTTGGAGGGATGTTGTCAGCTTGAGGGAATGACCTATGCCGTGGAGGGGAGATGGTATGGCCAGCCTCACACAAGGGCAAAAAAGGAGGCTTGGGCGGGCCGGGATTCGAACCCGGGACTCTCGCTAAACGCTGGAAAAGCAACGCTGAAAAAACGCTTAGTGAATACGCTGACCACTACGGTACCCGCACTGTGGCCTTTGTTAGGGACTTGGATTGTGTTTCTGGTTAAGAATGGGGCTGTCGCTTGCTCAGTCGATGGGGTGTCCCCAGGGTGGGCCAGGTCCTACAGGATTGGAGTGGCCTACAGAGGGACTCAACTCGGGAGTCATTAGGTACAGACTGCAGTGCGATGCAGTGCGCGAAGGCTACCTAAGTATGTCATGCTGTGGAATGTCGAAACTGAGCCCTTCTCTACCTACCTAACGAACCTGTCACGGCCTGCTGTATACTAGGTACCTGGCCTCGGGCAAGAAAATGAAGGCCCGACCGATCAATATGAATTGTGTCTTGGACTCGGAGGTTTTCCCGAGATACGGCTGAATATTCGGTCCGTCTTATTGCATTCAACGGCCCCGGCCTGCGAATCCTGTCCGACCCCCGGCTGTGCGGGGAAACAACAACGTGTCCAGTATGGCCATCATGTAAAGGGAAGCATGTACAAAAGGAAGCGCCAAGACCATTCAAGCGGCTGCTTGTCCATCATCTGTCCGCCTCCTCACTCCACATTTCACTAACCAAAACACCAGCAACTCATCTCCTCAGAATGGCACCCTTTGGCACCATTTACACAATGATGAAACCAGTCATCCACCCCCGCACCCGCCTCGTAACCTCCCCCTCCCTCACCCTTCCACTTCCAAATAACTAACCCTCGCCACGCCAGGCCATCGCCATATCCAAAATCACCTCCCAAGACATCACTTTCCCCCCCTTCACCTTCGGGACCGACAACAAATCCCCCGCCTACCTCTCCAAATTCCCCCTCGGGAAAATCCCCGCCTTCGAAGGCACCGACGGCTTCCTCCTCACCGAATCCAACGCCATCGCCCAGTACCTCGCCGACACCGCCCCAGATCCCACCATCCGTGCCCAACTCCTTGGATCGACACCCCAGGAACGCGCCAAGGTGCAGCAGTGGTTGTGGTTTTCGTTTCAGCATCTGGAGCCGGCGTTGAATGCCCTTTGTCTCTGGCGGTATGGAGATGGGCAGTATGGCAAGTATGATGAGAGTGCGGAGGAGAAGGCGGGAGGGGATTTGAGGAGGTGGTTGGGGTATTTGGAGGGGGAGTTGGAAAAGGGGGGATGGCTCGCGGGGACGAAGGGGGTGAGTTTGGGGGATTTGGCGATTTGTGGGCAATTGTATGTGGGGTTTATGTTGTATGTGGATGAGGAGATGAGGACGCGGGAGTTTCCGGGTTTGAGGGGGTATTATGAGAGGGTGTTGGAGGCGGTGCCGGAGGTTAGGGAGGTGTTTGATTTGGAGGGGAAGTGGGTTGGGGTTAGGAAGCAGCCTGAGCAGAAGACGGCGAGTGGTGAGTGAGGGTTGAAGATATGCTACTATGGGTTGAATAAGATGACTACTTTCCACAATGCCTCAGAGCGCTGGGCTCAGGTTTGCGTCTTGCCGCATATCCATAGTCGCAACAGCCTGCTTTCGAGTTGTATTCGTAGATGTGCTGAATACTACCTCCCGTGACCAAATTAAGTACAGGTGACCTTGATCGAGTTGTAATTTCTGGTATCCGTGCAAACATTGTAAGATATGGTTCTGGACGACCCAGTGCATCCGGGATTCTGCCAGATGCGAACTACAGAGATTTGTCAGCTCCCGCTTCTGCCAGTTCAATTGTCAAGTCTTGTACTCACCCGTGCAGATTCCAGGCCGAGTCTCAAGCCTCGTGCTCGCACCAGGAAGAACGGAGCATGCGTTGACCCTAGAGTTGAAGACGGTCCCCGACCCCGAACAGCCCCCGCTGACGAACGAACGGTAGTTGATGGAAGGCAGCGATTGTCTGACTTCCAAGGGGGCGGATTCCTCTGATGCTGGCGCAGCTGTGACATACGCCGCCAGTGCAAGGAAATGGGCTGGGAAGAACTTCATGATGAAAGTGAGAGATGGAGATAGACTAGATGTGGCGAGTTGGAGTAAGGACTCTGTTTCCCGGAGATGGTCAGGACAAGAGATCTACCTCATAGACGGAGTGACCACGGGGAGAATATATACTTTGCGACATTCAAAGAAGCTTCCTACTGCTCCCGTACCGTGCGACCCTGCATACCATCAGCCAATACTACAGGAGACCCGAGAACCTTTCGGTAGACCAACATGGCAAACGACCACAATTCAGCTCCCCGAGCACATCGGATGTGCAATCCCCGTCCCCTTGGGTTGGGCCATTTCCGCTTCTTGCCGCGGGTAAATCGTGAGAGGCAGTGTTACCTGGGCGCCCGAGCTGCTTTTTCCAGGTAATAATGGCGGGAAATGCGGGAAATGCGACGCGGAATACCACCCTAGGACTTGTTGCTGACATCGTGCATCGCCACCGGGCCAAAACATCATTCAGCTTTTGTGGTGTTTATCTGTTAATGAGTAGCATTGCCAGAGCGGGGTAGAGCGGGATACGACTTTGGGGGCTTCTTTTCGTGGTGCCGTGTTGCGTGCAATGGCCGAGAGGGGCTCTGACCCTCTGAGATCCTTGAGTGTCTTGACAGTGCTTGATGGCAGAGTGGTGCAACCGGGCTGAGGGGCGCCCGAGTCGGGATCCGGTTGAGAGCAGGCGAGTTCTAGCGGGCGGATCAGGCCAACCAAGAAATGCCCCACCTTCAAGATCCTGTCCTCGGTTGTCTCCCGCACCACGGCAAGATCATTGACTCCGAGACCTTGCACGTCCCCCTGCACAAATGCCGGTCTCGGCAAGAGATGGCGAGCCATCGGAGACGACAATGTTGCTTGAACTGCCATACACAACAAAACCACTTTCTCTTCGGAGAGAGGAATCTGGTCGGTGGAGTTGAGTTGGAGATACTGCCATTTCAGGGTAAAGGAGAGGTGTGGGGGTACCAGTGTTGATATGTGTAAGGCGAGGAAGGAACGCCTGGAGGACGTCGGCCATCAGCTCATATTAACCCGGAATTGACATCAGGCCTTACCATCGCCTTTCACATGGAAATTGAGAATGGGTACAGCGTTGAATTGGATGTCCGAAGTAGGCTCGGATATAAAACTGAGCGTTTCAATGGAAGGAGCGGCTCATCATGTGATTGGCTCGGCATTCGGTTCCACAACATGTTGTCGCGTCTCATCCTGTCGAAATGGAGTGTCTCCGCCGCAAATCGTATTTGCACCTCGCACTCACTTCTAAATTCCAAAGGCATTGGAAAGTCCGCCAGCATACCCAATTCCTTCGCACTCAACAAAAATTGGGCGGCAGCTAGCCCCTTTTACTCCAGTGTTCGTTGCCCCCTTTGGTCAAAGCATTGTTCTCGAAGCGTTCTCTAAAATGACGTCCACAATCCCCACTGTCAACCTCACTCCCTTCACCGCACCCTCAACCCACTCCGACGCCGATCGGATCCTCGCTGGAAAGACCTTCATTGCGGCGCTGCATCGGTACGGCTTTACCAAGGTGTCCGGGCACGGCCTCTCCCACGATGAAGTCGACGCCGCGTTCGAATGGAACCAAAATCTGTTCGACCTGCCCCACAACGAGAAAATGAAAGCACCTCACCCGCCCGGCCCGTTCCCCCACCGCGGATATTCCGGCAAGGTGCCCGAAGGTGAGCTCAAGGAGAGCTACGAAGTGGGCAGCGAGGAAGACGACCAGCAGCAGAACATCTGGCTCCCCGAGGAAGTGCTGCCCGGCTTCCGCGCCTACGCAACGTCTCTTTACGAGCGACTTGCTCGTGTGTCCGAGGTTTTGCTCTCTGCTATGGGGATAGGTCTAGGCCTGGACGACGAAGAGCAAGAGGCGCTGATGCAGCTGGCCTCGAAGCGACATAGCCAGCTGCGGTTTATGCATTACCCTGCTGTATCGAGGGCGCGACTGCAGAGCGGGGATGAGGTCCCGCGGCTTGCCGCGCACAATGATTGGGGGTGCGTGTGATTTGATCTGTTGTAGAATTCCACACTAACTTCTTGATAGAACATTTACGATTCTGTTCCAGGACCAAACCGGCGGGCTGGAGCTGCGCGATCCGCAGACGGGCGACTTCATCCCCGCTGATCCAGAAGATGGCACGCTGGTGCTCAACATTGGTGATATGCTGGGCCGGTTTACAAACGGTTAGTCCGAGATTCTACGCAAATATGTTGCAACATCATTTCGAGCCTTCGTATTAACTTTCGCCCAGATTACTTCAAGTCCGCAGAGCATCGAGTACAAGCCCCTGACCTGACCGCGGCGGACGAGGGGGGTATTCCCGGACGACGCACCATCCCCTTTTTCATCGGCCCCGTGCCCTCGCACACGGTAGCTACATTGGAGCGCTTTGTGGACACTGAGAATCCCGCCCGTTACGAACCGGTGCGGTTCGACGAGTATGGTGCCATCGTGAGCGAGTACCACTATCAGGCAGGGAATATTGGGTGAGGTTTCGGGTATGGGAAGCAACATGCCTTTCTCGCTGAGGTATGCTCAGGGCTAAGTCTCGGACTTAGGTTTCTGCTCTTATTTCTGTGTGGAATTCCTAAATAGTGCAACCTCAAAGTCCTTTCCCCAAAGCGTCGTGCTAAATTTTCCATGTGGTTCATAGTATCTCCGGGTTCCCAATATCTAGCTCCAAAACGGGCTCCGCAACGAATAAGCCTCTCTACAGCAATCCTCTTCTTCGCCTGGAAAGCCCGATCCAGCGCTGTCTGCCCCAGCCTGTCACGTTGGTAGATAAGAGACGCATCTTGTTCAAGGAATATGTCCACAATCTTGTCGTCGTTTGAAGACCAAAAAAAGGAAGAGCCACGGTGTACAAATGCAATGAAAGCTGGTTCGCCATCCGAAAGCCCTATGGGCTTTTCTCCAGCGTCGAAAAGCTCCTCGGTGAGCTCTTGTGCTACTGACCGAGCTGCTGCTAATTATTCCCAGATGTGCGCCAGCTTGGGTCTTGTTGCTTGCTACTGCTGGCTGGCTGACAGCAGCTCTGCGTTGTATGAGTGCCTTGACTGCTACTACAGAGTTTATCATTGAGTCACGGCC